GGATGCATTTCTTGTCTCACATAAGAAGCTATTGTTCATGTGTGAAATGCAACAATTCTGAGGAGATCCTCCAGAGTCTGAAAACAGCTGAAGTCACTGCTTGGACATTTTGCTCCCTGAGGTGATCCTGGTTGAGGACTACACTCTGTGAAATCAATATAATGTTAAATGTCTCCAGTAAGTACGTGTATTTCTCTTCTCTACTCAAATAATGTGCTTGTTTGACCTTTTAAAAAAAACAGACTCAGTTCTCCAGCGTTTGTTTCCAGTCAAAAACAACATTAATCCACTGCACTGCCATTATTCACTGAATAGAATCCCTTGATTAAGAGAAAGCAGTCTGGTCTCCTTTAAACAGAAGCAAGACGAATGAGCACTAAGACATGAGGTAAGAATAAGTGTGGACTGAAAGGTCTCACTGTGGTTTTTTAAAGCTGCCCCTTAACCTCCTGTCTGTGCCGTGACAAAGCTGCAGCAACATATTCCACCTGCAGACGTCACCATGGCGATGATGAGGGTCCAGAAGCTAACACAACAAACACACACACTTGGACATACGCTGACCTGAGTGGGTTTGATTAAGAACATTATAGTGTCTGCTCAGATATAAACTTGGAAGTAAAACTCAGGAGGCATCAAATGCTTGTAATCTCTGACATGAGAATGAATCTATAGATGAGGGAGAAGATTGTGGAGTTGGATATTTTTTGGTTTCCATTTCTAGTTTGACTAATCATGTTTGAGCAGGCTCTGGTTGCCCACAGGTTAGGGCCTCGTCACACACACACACACACACAAATGTTTCAGTGTTGAACCTTCCTCCCACTCACTTCCAATCGCTGAAAGCAAGGAGGGCAACAAGACATCCGGTTCCTGTGTTGAGGCAAATCGCAGCATTGCTTTGTCTTGAGTTCAACTTTGGTGAACCTTGACCCTCCATATTTTCCTCACATTCACGTACGTGTTACCAAACTGAAACAGTCTGTGTGGAGATCAAAAGAGGTGGAACACAATGACTGAAATGCATCGGCTATTGGCAGATACCTGTTGATATAGAGATGAGACAAACTGAGCCTGGACCTGAAACACCTACAGAAAGTTTCACTGTTGAGAAACTCGTTGGACTGTAAAGAATGGAAGAGGACGTCTTGGTCCACTGTCTAAGCTGGAAGCCCCGATATATTGGTCTAATTTGTTGTCACATGACGCAATGAGCTGTTTGGAATAACTGAAACACAAAGCAACATTTGGTCTTCAGTGTTCAGTCCTCCATTTAACAATCGTATCACTCTCAGTGTATTTCAGTGCAAGTACTTTGTTCCACAGGAAAATGGAAAGATGATGTGATGTAATACAATAACACGAGGATTTCAGGCTATTCACTGCTTCAGCTGTTTCTGGCTCGAGCACCACTTTTCCTGCGGTCATGCTTTCACCAGGTGTTTGAAGAGAAGCTTTTTTTAATGACATCTGCTGTGAATAAAATCCATCCCTCGTAATCTATTCATGATAATTACCTCCATATACTGATGATAATATCCTACAACTGCTGTTCCTGCTGCTCAAAATGTTTCCCACATTGTCCTAAAACTCAGGAAATAGTTTTGGAACTGTGTAAAATTTCATTAATTTGTTTCTTGCTTGCGGGGACGAATGAGCTGTTCCTCTTACCAGAAACTCAAATGATGCTTATGGAGAGTTCATAAGTCATTGTGTGATCTACACTGGCCACATGCTAAGTTTCTCAACAGTCCGAATCCATTCTTTTCCCAGCATGCTGTGCTGTGCAGTTCGTCTTTGTTCTTGGAGAGTGATCTGCACGACAGGCTTCACTAATCATCATGGACGTGGTGTAATTAGAGCAGCTCTGGCTCTCCTCCAAGTCCATCCCATGCTGGCTATTAAGTCATTTACCCAGTATACTCCACCTGGGCCGCTCCCTGGTGTTGTATATATTAATGCTGCCGAGACGAGAGGCCGAATTAGAGTCATATTATGACCCCAGCTGTCGTGGAAATGAACTGTCACATTAAGATGCTTCTTTATCTGAAAGCCGAGGCATCTTGAAACAGAATTCACGAGGAATAAGTGAGGAAATTGTCTTTCGTGACTCAGGAGGAGGACGCCTGACCGAACCCTGGTTGGGAATGTGTTTGTAAGCTGCAGTGATTCCCTGCTTTATAAGACAGAGAAAAACATTTAGATTATGGACGACTCACTTTACCTGCAGGCTTTATAAGCTGGTGACGCTCATCCAGACTCTGTCTCTCCTCTGGGTTCCATGGCATTTGGTTCTTGTTGTATAATCAGATTTCCTTTTTTATTTCTTTAAAATAAACTTCTCCTTAATAAAAACTCACATGTGGTCCGTTCAGCATGGAGTTGGGCTTTAACAGTATTTTCATGGCAAAATTATTTTTGTTATCTTCAGGAAATTGATACCAAGGTGGAGATATTGGAAAAACTTATATTCACATCATTGCTGAAAATCACACAAGCCACCCGAGCTTGTAAATACTGAAGAGCACAAAAGACAACTTGTTGTTTTGCCAACTGCTCCAAGGGCAAAATAATCATCCACAATAAATAGCATAATAAATAATAAAACATCTTTTCGTCATTTTTCTCTCTTTGGTTTTTAGAATTAAACAAAACATAACTTGTTAGTTCACTCTGGAGGGTCTGGTGGGTTTTAATACCAATAATGATTCACGCTGTTTCCCATCCTTATGAAAAGTTACGCTAACCAGCTGCTGATTGCAGCTTTTTCATGACAACGAACATTTACATGTAAGAGATCAGTGTTTTTCTTCCCATCTAACTCTGCTAGAAAGTGAACTGTGGACGTAATAGTAGAAAAAACTCCGATGGGAAAGGCTAACACAGAGAAGAGCTTTTAAGTGCCTTGTCATTACACAAAGTCTAAACACGTCAGGTCTCCTTTCTGCTCAAATTATCTCATCCATCAGCCAAGCAGCATGTGCACTTTAATGATTATGTCTTTTAAATTTGTCTCACACACACACACACTTAATCGCAGTGTAATCATGTCAGCAGGGGGATCTACAGACACTCATGATGAGTGATGAGCTCAATTTTCCACACCCAGTAAGATTTCTCCTCCTCTTCATGGAAAACTAACACGAGGTGATTGTAGCTACCAACATCAAATCAAAGAACTTGGTTTCTGTTCTTGAAATACGATATGATATACTTTACTATACGATACATCACGATACTTTATGATACGATACATCACGATACTTTATGATACGATACATTACAATATGATACATAACAAAACGATACATCATGATACTCTATGATACAATACATTACAATGTGATGCAATATGATACAATATGATAAGAAAGTATAAGAAAAGAAATAATATATATATTATGTAATTAGAATATTTACAATGTAAGCTGAATATATATTTCAAACAGAATATATACAGCGTGAACAGAATTAACAATGTGAACAGAATATGTAGTGTAAACAGAATACACACAGTGTTAGCAGAATATATGCCATGTAAAGAGTAGATATACAATGTAAACAGAATTTACATGGTGTGGACAGAATATATATGGTAAAAAAAAACATTTATACTGTTTAACAAGATTGCACATATTAGAAATTTACATGTCTGGATGTAAAATGAGCACTGCACAGTTACATCAGTCAAACCTGAGTGAGATGTGAGATTTACTTTTGCTGGTTACATGTGAAAAATTTTTGATTTTAATGGATGGAAATTAAAATCAGTGGACATGAGTGTTGCCTGGTTTTCCACATCTGTCTGTTTCAATATATTTATTTTCAATACTATTTTTTTACCCTCTCTTTCACTATGTGCTCGTAAAAAATAAAAGTGCTTGAACAGATTGTGTTTATGTGTGTTTCTACTCTCCGGTCCAAGCATTTTCCCCCAAAGGAAAAGTTTGAGCCAACATGTTGGCTTGGAAGCTCAGTTCAAATGTCCTTTTCATACCCTCTGCTCCCTTTAATCTGGTAATTACACACATGGCGGCAGAGGCAAAGCCGGATGGTTCTTTAGCCATCAGGCTAAACACCGTGCATGTTTCTGATTTGGACACATGAACACTTCATGATCTTGTTTCTGCTGCGGCTACATTTACTTACATTTAAAAGAGACATCAGGGAGAAGAAAAATACCAAATACATCACTGAAGGATGATTCACTTCAACAAATCAACCACAGCGTCCGTATTGTTGAATCACATTCAATTGATCCAAGTAGAAATCATTCTGAAGTTGTGACTTGCTGGAAAAAACTGAGATGTTGTAGCTTTTTCAGAAATGGAGAGAGAGAGAGACCACTGGAGTGGTTGGGAATTAAACATGTCCTGCTGTATTCCAGTAGACAACAATAGTGAATTCATGATTCATTTTACCCCTATCTTCTTTTAAATCTCTCCTTTTATCTTGTTTTTACTCTTTTCTAATCTGAAACATTTTTTTATTTCTGTTGCTGTGTGATCATGTTGCTTTTAAATAGTTTTCTATTGTTTGCCTTTGATTTTTAATTTCTAACTTGTAAAGCACGTATACACAGTGAGTCTTGAAAGGTGCTATAGGCTATACTACTATCATTATTATTATTATTGTGTGGACGCTGTTCCTCCTTTTTCTACGCTGCGGAACAGTCTTATACTTTTTGTATCGTGTTTTGTTTAGTAAATCTCAATTTTAAAAAATGTGTCCACATTAAAATAACAAAATATGTATTTATTCAGTGCTGGTGCAATTCCCATGTTATTTATGATCCCAACATGTCCTCGATAATATTTACATTACCATGGTGTCAGCTGTCAAAACTCACTCTTTTTCTTTTCTTTACAACTGTCAAATTCTTATAATATACTTCAACGCCTGGGACTCATGATAATAAATCAGATTTTACGGGCTCTGTGTAATTCTCCTATAAAGGTCCGAGGCTGTGACGCGCCCCGGACGCGCCGGTAGGAGTCAGTATCAAGCCCCCTTTCTCTCCTTCCTCCTCTTCTTCCTCTTCCTCAAACTTCCATTTCCTCCTCGTTCCTAACAGAACATTTCGCTCCTCAGTTCATCTCCTCAACACAGAGAGCTGTCAGGAGACGTCCTCGGTTTGTTTCTTCGTCGTTGTGCCGACTGGAATAAAAAAAAACAGCAGCAGGCGGGTTCCAGCCGGGAAAAGAAAAAGTTTGAGAGCTGAAGTTTGCGTGTGAGTGGTTTCCTCTCCTCTGTCGTCTGGGCGGTGAAGTGGCTCCACAGGAGAACTGGCAGCAGGTGAGAAGCTGCTGTGTCTGTGTTTGTTGAGTTGTTTAGTTTGTTGACATCCGTGCGTAATTCCAGGTCGAGTTCTGCGCTTCGCTCTGTGCCATCCAACTTTTCTGTATCCACTTCCAGAGGTGCTTCATTATGTGAGCTGTGTGATTTCAATATTGCCCGAATTAAAATGAAATAACCACAACATGATGTCTCTATAATGAGTGGGTGAATAGCTGGCAGCCACTTTGCAGTGACCTTATGGTTTTTTAAACTCTTGTATAATAAGATTTACCGTAAATTGCTGCAGGATTGAGTTTTAATAACCCCCATGAGCTCCTGTTAAAACCATTCCAATCCCATCAATATTATTTGATGCCCTCTTATTTCTGGCAGGGCATCATGAGTGTGTCACATGCCAACAAGCTGTTGAATGTGAGCTTTTAAAAGTGATAAATGGCTCTTTGAAAGGAAACATTTTATCTCCTCACCCTGTCCATTCTCCTGCATGAAAATATCTATCAGCGTTTGATCAATGGCAGCAACAAAGCCCCTCATTTTATTTATCTTTCCAAGTGCATATTTTTGGGTTGGCACCTCACGGAACAAGTTGATCTTGTGAGGCTGCAGGAATGTGAGGAATCAAAAAAAGCTCTGAGTCAGTTTTTCTTCCCAGAGGCAGCAGCTGAGTGAGATGCTGCTGTCATCCATGTGAGGAAACACACCCCGTGCGACAATAAGCTCCTCACCGCAGCTCCTCACTGATTTTCTAACAATTCAGTGTTGCCCGGATGAGACTGTGATCTTTAGTGTTTCTGACATAGAGTGTCTGGAAATGTGAATCTGACCCTGATCACTGAGGAGGAGACCAGTGTTGCCAGCATCTACGTATGTTTCTTGCTCTGATTTCAGTGTTGGCCCCCCTGTGCTCAAAGTGTTGAAAGTGAGAAGTTAAGAGATGCTTTGTGGAGCCTCCCCTCAGCTGATGAATTTTCAAGATGTGAGAAAATCTCCCTTGTTTTCTCTTCTCATTTCATCAATTATCGCTTGACTCGAGTCTCACAGTGAAGTCTCTGTCCGCCGACTAAAAAATGACCGTCTGTCTTTAATTTATCACATGCCCTTCTCACCATGGGACACTTCTCACCATACCCCTGGGGCAGTGTTGACTTGACGGCGGGACATCTTTTTTGAAAGAAATATTCCCATTGGACCCAACACAGGATTCAAGTGGGGCCTTATGAAAACAGCAGCTCCTGACCACGGTGGTATGTTGTAGATCAAGTCTATTCTGGTGTCTGGGGGGGGGGGGTCTTGCACCATCTGACCCCACATTCCTGCCTCCCTCATGGCATGGTCATAGGGGTCAGTGCCAACCCAGCACCCACCCCCATTCCCCTTGACCTATACTGTTGAACAGATTTCACTTATTCCCCGATTTCCCTCATATTGCAGTGCCTGTTCTCAACCTGTTTGGAATGAGCTGTTCTCTGGGCCTGTGTTGATCCCCGGAGCCACGTCAGAATTATTTCTTGTCATTAGTGAGTCCTCCTCAGAGAGTTCTACAATATAGTTTCACTTTCTTATTGTTTGTGTGCTGGACGATGTGCAGGGAGCTTTTGTTAAACAGCCTATCTGGTGCAGATGTGAAGTTTAGAAAACTGCGTTCATCCTACCTGGTTTATCTGCAATGAAGATTTTGGAATGACCCAGTAGCCGACCTCTTTAGAAGACATGTTGGACTCTGCTCAGCTCACACTGACTGCCTGTTTATTCACATTTTATTCATTTGGGCGTATCACAACTCAAATCACATACCAAGTGTGGAGCTGATGAAGGGAACAGTTTGCAAGATATGCGTTGCACAGACAGACAGACAGACAGACGGATGGACGGACAGACAGAGATGATGATGATGATGATGATGAATTTTTAACCAGTGGCTTTATTGGCTGTTCTCTATCCAGCTAACTTAATTATAATCTCCTTGCAAATGAGGGTTTACATCAGATTAGATATTTAAATGTTGGATTCATTTCCCAGCAGTCATATCTGAACTCTCCACACTCACCAACCGACTATATAGATTCGTTTAAACCTTCAGCTGCTTCTCATTGTGTTTCTTGTATTTCTTGGCCTCGCATTACCAACGTGCAGTCACGGAAATCAAAGTTCGCCTTCGGCCGTCATCCACAATCATAACCTTTGTGTCGAGAGGTTTTCCTCGGGACGCACTGGCTGATTCTCTGCGTAGGTAAACAAAAGCGTCAATGTCAGCCTCTGAGCTTGTTTACTTCTTCGGCTTTCTCTCTCTCTCTGTCCCGCACGGTTACCATAGAGCTCGCTCTCTATGCTCCGTCCCTTCATGAAAGTTCCTATTCTGTGGGACGAGGGGGCCGGACCATCCGTGCTGGGCAGATCTCATTCCGCCGTGGCCTCACAATGGCTGAGCTGTGCTGCTATATCAACATTTATTTCTCTCTTGCCCCCTTTTTAATCACATGACCAATCGGCAGCAGGAAGAGCAAGGCCGTGTGGCTCCGTCTTTGTCCGTTTGAGATATTGCTGGTTCTGTGCCATGAATCACTCTGACTTTGCATCTTGTGTCAGAGAAGCCTTTTACTATAGCCCTAATTTCAGGCTTGCAGGCGAGTCCTCCCACTGTTTTTCATGTAGCCTTACTCAAGCTGCGCATTCATGAGATTCAGATCAGATGTCTAACTCCCATATATACGCAGCCTGCAGAACATTCTGTGTCTATATTTTGACCCCACTGTGTGTGACTGACAGCCGGTTTATTTACTGTCGAGTCTATTTCCGAGCCAGGGGTCCTGAAAGTGCAGCGGGTTCCTCTCACCGAAACTAAACTCACGTCTGAATCGGTGTGTGCAGCAGGAGGGGGATACGTGTTCCATAATCATTTTTTCTGTGAGACCTTTCTTTCCCCCTACAGTGAACAGCTTGCATGTTTCTTTCCGTGCATCACTGCCAAAACATCTCAACACAGAGGAGCTGATCCGGTGAACCTGTTAAATGCCACCGACATGATCTCAGTCTGTGGCATGTTGGAGTACGTGCCACACATGCCACGTTCTCTGCGTATGAGGAGGCGAGGTCTCCGCGGCCGCTGTCAGCTCAGCAGCTCTCGCGCTGTATCATGCTGTTTTGTTTTCTGTGCCATGCAGGATTTGTAATGTCAGACTTGTTGACTTTAGCAGGCAGAGCTTCCTCTCCTGCTGCAGCCTGCGTCAGTCGCCTTTTGTCTGCGTCGGTAGACTGCTGTGGGGGAATTTGTGTTCCTGAGACATGAGTGGTGGGGCTTTATTCTAAATCTTTTTAAAATGTTGTTCCCCTCAGTAACCTGGAAATACTGCCTGGAAATAGGTTAATTCCCAAAATGTCACTTAAACTCACTTTGGTCTTATTTATTATGATTGTTGCAGAGCTGCAAAAAACACATTTTAACAATTTGTGCCGCTCTCGCGCCATCTTCTGCATTTTTATTAACAAATGTGAACTTATGTGCTATTGTGCTTGTGGTGAGCATTTTCCTGCCTGTTCAATCAGATTATATTACACTGGGTAATTGTGTTTTCACTATTAAAAGAATGCATTTCTCTTTACCACTAATTTAATTTATGCAAATGTTGAGCAATGGTGCCTCTAATATTATTCTCCTCCAACTTTTTCATTAAAATGTATTTTTTATTATTGGGATTATTTTAGATCTCACAGAATTTAAAGCTTTTCTGAAGCAAGAGAGGCCTGGTTGCAGTTGACGGCATTTGTTTTCTTGTTGTACATATGGCCCTTGTCCGTAGCCATTAATCCATTTCAGACATTAGGCGTTAGTGTGACTGTTCTGAGTGGACAGCTGTGGTGTAAAGTTTCCTTTTGAAGGGACTCTGTGACATAACTGAAGTCGTATATTATTCGGTGCTGATTTTATTTATTTGTTTAAGTTTGGAAGAGATGTCTTTCATTTTGAATGGGTTTGACTCTTGTTAAATATGTTCTTTCTTTAAGGTCCAGGATTTTTTCTGGGGGGGGGGGGGTCTCATTATCCTGCCCCAGACATTATGTGTGAGAGTTGGCCCCAGTGACTATAAACAGGACTTTGATCATGGGATATATATTAGTGCATGTAACCTTTTAGTGTTCAGAATATAAGTGTAGAACCACACTGGATATAACGTGACACCTTTTGTCTGTGATGGTGTCATGGTCCAGGAAATATAAGTAATAGCTGAATAGGACATTTAAACTATATTACACTCTGTTGTTTTTGGGAGATTCTTCGGAATTTCTATTCTATCAAAGGGGCGTTCTGTTTAACATATGTACATAAAATACATAAAATTCAAATATCAAATGCAGAGATTGGTTCCCCTCAGTGCACCAGCCTTAAAACACATTATGAGTCATTGCACAGGCCTGTATCCTAATGTTAGGGAGTCAGGAAATGGTCAGTTCTGCAGTCTATTATTGAATCTCATGGAACAATCTAATCAGAACATGATGTTAACTAATGCAACATCACAAGTTACAAGATTAAAGATGATTAGCAGCTTTTGAACAGAGTAAAACTAATATGGTTTCATAAAGGTAGTGTTTATTACTGGGCCTTTATAGTTTTACATCAAACTTGTGTACCTGTATATGTGATTTGGTAATAATAATATTAACAATAGGGAAAGGATAAGATTAAAAGAAAGTAATTAGCTAAATACAATCCAGTAAAAGCCATTTAGTAAAAAGTAACTTTTGAGAGATGGTTTAAAAAGTTTTAAGTCAGTGTTCCTCAGGTAAACTATCCCAGAGAGTTGGGGCTCCTGAAAGCAAAGGTCCCGTCACCTTTGGTCTTCAGTCTCGGAATATCGAACTCATCGGCTTGTAGCCTGAGATCTTCAGATAAGGACTCCGAGCTGCTGAGTACTGGTGTGTAGCAGCAGGGAGGGCACCAGCTCATGTAGATTTGATCAGCAGATTTTATCAGTGGTTTTGATCATTTTGTTTCTGCA